GTTTTGTTCCATACAATTGTGTATTGAACCTAAAGCACTGTCTTAAACGGTTCGATACGGTTACTGTTTTCTAACGCTAAAGCTAACAGGCTAAGCTGAGGTTGTTCTTCCATGAAGCAGCTCTGTTGTCCTCCATCCATATTTTCAGTTACAGGCTGAGTCATTTCTACCTTCTCCTCTCTGTCATTGTGCTCCGGTTTCATTTAAAAGAGCCGATCGTCAGATATTGTCCAAAATTAACCTTCAAGTCTGGATAGAGATTGCACCAGAAAGTGTCATCATTTACCCAGAATGCCTTGCTGCATTAATAACAAGGCAATGTCCACATGGCAATATATATTTTTTACATTTATAAAAACTAAACAATCTACAGTATTTTTAGTCTTGTTTTTATAGCTGAAATAAACATTTTGTCAAATAATGTCTAACGGTAAAACAGGTCAGAGATCCCTTTAAAAAATATCCTGTGCTTTCGGAATACTTTTTATAGTTTATTTGAAGATTTGGCACAACTCTCTACATGTGTGCAAAACCTGTAGAGAGAAACTGGAGTGTGACGAGTAGGAGAGGATGAAGAACGACACAGAGGACGGTTATAAGGATGAGTCAAAGAACAAAAGGAGGTAGGGTAGGAAACAAGGAAGGTAAATAAAGCAGCAGAAAGGTGATTTAAATGCAGAGAGGTCAGGCTTCTTAGCAGTCCCTAATTGGATTAATGTCATAATGAACACACTGCTTGTATGGGTTAGTGTGTGTGTGTGTGTGTGTGTGTGTGTGTGTGTGTGTGTGTGTGTGTGTGTGTGTGTGTGTGTGTGTGTGTGTGTAAGCTTTTCCCAGCTACATGGAACAGCGTGCATGACTGCTCCGTACATACGCTGGGATCTGTGCTCATATGTGTCAGAACAGTTCCCTTCCCCCAACGCCCTCGTCTCCAGGCTCTCCTTCAACAGATTTTTTTCTCACACAGATCTTATCAAGGCCTCAGCTTGCCGAGGAGGTCGCACACACCGAAAGTCTGATCACTCCCAAAGCCACATGGAGAAAACAAGACTGAGACTTCTTTCAGCAACGCCAGAACTATTCTGTTCTAACGGCTACAAATCAGAGTAATTTCAGTCATTTCAACTGAACACTCTGCATTTTCACATCTCTTCATCTGGCTGTAGTTAACAGATACTGTAGCAGAAACCAGGTCAGAGCGAGAGACAGAGACGGAGAGAGAGAGAGAGAGAGAGAGAAATAAAAAAGAGAAGAGGAACGACAGAAAGGTAAAGCCTGTGAGACAAGACACTCGTCTCAAAGAGTGCCCCCCTCCACGGTGTCCTACCCCCTGCGTAGTCGTAGCTCACAATCCCTCACTACAGAGACTGCAGGGAGCCGGGATGAGACAAAGGGGAATGGTCACATTAATTACACACACTCTGTAGACGGGAGCGATCACCGGAGGCTGACGGAGGGAACGGCGGGGAGATGGAGTGACGGAGGAATGGAAATGATAATGCTCATGGAGTACCCTATATGTCTCCAGTGAGAGGGAGTGTTTGTCCTTAGCAGCAAGACGCCTGCCGGCTGCTGAGTTATGTCACCATGTTACTAATGGGAGCTGAGCCGCCATCACACACACACACACACACACA